CACCCGTGCACACACACACACACACGCGCGCACAAGCACGCACGCGCACACGCACGCGCACGTGCGCGCGCTTGCCTTCTCTCCGCGACTTCCTCTTCTTCCTGAGATCCCTGGCCACTTTCCCCGGCCGTCGGAGAGGCGGACGTGCTGGCTGCCCTGTGACCGGCCTGCGGCACGCCACACCAGACTCCGAGCTAGATGGTTTGCGTTCAACACAACTGCGCTTCCACTCCTGGCTTGATGATAGTGGTAGCAGCGATGGTCGTGGTGGTGGTGGTGGTGGTGGTGTCGCCGTATGATTACCATGATGCTGCTATTCCGAAACCATTCCTAACCATGATAACTGTACCTATGATTCGTGTCTTCGCTCTGAAATCCTGTTGTTGCTGCTTCCTCGATGGCTATGAAACATTTACAGTAGCTATACATGTGGCGTATTCCGGTGAGTACTTCCAACAGAAACGATGATCGAAACCATACGGTTCGTGCTTTCGTCATTGACTGACTGCTGCTGCTGCTGCTGCTGCTGCTGACACTGGTGCTACTGCAGGATATCCAACTGTGTTGCTACCGCTTGGGGCCTAAGACCGAGGCAATGTGCGCCAGCAGCACAACCTGCAATGATGGATCGAGGAGTTGTCTTCAGACCTCGACCTAGTACAGGAACTTCAGACAGTATATAATGGACAAATAATCGAAGTCCACGCCTCGGCGCAAGACGGCTGTCGGATAACGATATAGCTCAGATGCAACTTTGGAGGATTACGCCCTGCATGATTTGAATGTTGGTTGCTGTTGTTCTTCCGAAAACATTGAGGGATGATCATTCGCTACCCCCCCAGCATTTGGTCGTCACCGTCGTCGTCGTCGTCATCGTCGATGTAGCAGTAGCGGTAGGAGCAGTAGCAAAACAGCAATAGCAGCAGCAGTAGTAGCTGTTGTGGTTCCTGTTGTAGTAGGAGCTACACTGCAGCAGCAGTTCGAGTTGTCGAAGGTGTAGTTGCACGTGTGGGTTGCTCACTCTACTAGCCTGGGCTCGCCACCACCCAAGCTCTAGGCTTGAAAGCTACCCACAACTTTCAGGTCTTGGGATTCCCACTCGTCATCTCCGTGTAATGTCCCTTTGGATCCGGCAACACCCTTCACTTGCAGGTTTGGGTTTCCCAACCATTACTGATTACGTCCTGGAACATCTTCAAAAACAGTAGGAACAACAACCTGAACGACAACGAAGACGGATAACTGCACCTGTACACCAAAAACACCAGTAAAAACAAGCTGGGTGAGAGACGAGAAAACCAAGCGATCCCACTCCATAGGGGAAGCCAGCCGGGAATAGGAACCATAGTGCGGGTTGTGCCTGGCCAACCCCATCAAGCACCAACACTGAACTTACCCGAACCACGTTCGAAAGCATCTGATCATGCTGGCATCCTAATGGAAAAGCATTGTCAACTGTGAGCAGCGACATGAAAAGCATAGATTTGTATGTCTCCCCCAGGTCCCAAGTCGGTCCCAGCCACCTGCGCTGCTCACGACCCTTCCGAGGCCGGTACTTCCTCGGGCGCGATGCCATCGCTCGGGCTGGCTATGCCCTCGACGGCCGTGGCGATCTGCACCCTTATCGCAACAGGCCACAAACGGGCTTGGATTCAAAGACAGCAAGCAGTAACAATCAACACCACAAAAGCACGGTTGCACACAAGTATATGACTACCAAAATTCGTACACACGCAAGTCTTCTTGTCGCCAACAGCCACCCTGCCACAGCCAAGCAACCCAAGGACCACCCCTGCGCCCTGTGCGTCCCGGGGGCCATGCCACATGCCGGGTAGGGTCTGCTTTTGTTTCGCTGAGTGCTGCTTCGGCTCCTGGTTGATCCAGTGCTTTCTTGTCTACCCATCCAAAGAGATCGCTTGGCATTTCATCCCTCCACTGCTGTGCTTCTCTTGGCCAATTCAAGTAGCAAGGCCTCAGAAATCGACGTTTGCCTTGCCGAGGCGGCAGCAAACCCCGGAAGGTTTTCTCAAACGATCAGGCTTGTTCGGTCGGACTGGTCCCCAAACCTTGGCATTTAAAATCCACTCGCACACTCCGACAATGCCTTCCTTTGCACCCTTGTCGGTTTAGCACAGGAAGTGAGCCCGTGAGGAGTTAGGACGACAGGAGCAAACGACAGGAGCAAAGGAAACCCTGCAACTAATCCTTTATAGCGGCTATCTGACCAAGTATGATCGAAAAACGAGAAATCAAGCTGGGACGTGGTCAATGTGCTCCGTAACACGGAGACTTTTGGCAGAGTGACGCTAGGGTACAACTCATTGAGCCTCAGGCTCCAAGGTCCTAGAGGCCAAGGAAAAAGCCACGGTAGCTCGGCCTTGACCATGCTGAAAGCCAGAAAGCTGGCGGGAGTCAAAGCGGCCGAAACGTCGTAAACCTGCTTACAGGCTGAAGTGGAGACGACATGAGCATCTGACGTGGTCAAGTCCAACCAAGAGAGGCGACAAAGAGAAGTGGCGGAGATAGATGAAGAATCAGCCAATTGAACCCAAACGCGGCTGAACTCCGCAATTTTACGCGCAAGGTGGGTTTGGTTGCAAGCGCCTTCTGCCCAATCCGCAGTATTCACGAACCAACCGGAATCGCTGCCGTGTCAATGGGCTGAGCGGCCGAGTCACTGGCAGCTTCCCCGTAGCCTGTTCCATCAACTGCACGGCGCAAGTGCCGAGAGGAAGGCAGGGACTTGACCATTCGTAGCAGTCGAAGCAACTGCCATCCAGGCCACGCTGTGGCGGGATATAGCGTTGCAGTGTCATGGCATGACCCGGGGGCACAGAAGGTAGTTCATCGGGTCGAATATCATGCCAGGAGCGAGCCGCAAGCTCCGAAACGAGGACAAGGGCTTTTCATCAGCCCGAAGCAGAATGAAACCGACACGGCGAAAAATAGCGACTTGCTGGATTTCTTGACAAAACGTTGCTGCAAGCATATTGCAAATGCTTCGTGCCAGAAGGGCAGCAAACACGGAGACAAAGAAGCACGGATGTACGCAAGAATCTTCCGTGGAGTTTGCCGAAGCGGTCACTGGAAACCAGGTCCGACGGCACGGGACACAGAGACAGGATAGGCCCCAGCCAGACCAGTGCAACGAATGTATGCACATGACTGGGAGGAAGTCGGAGAGCGCAGATACAACCAACAACCCCGGACAAAGGAACGGTCGGACTAAGCTTGGCACCGCCCAAGACGTGGGCTGCAACCGAACATGGATTCAACGTCCCAAATGAGCGATGTATATGTTTGTATGTGGGGGAAAATGAGGTCTCCAATCGTCTGACTCAGGATCAATATGCGTACATCTTCAAACGTGCGAGACTGACAAATGTTCGCACAAACAAGCTGCCGCCAAATTTAAGCCGCCCCTCGCGGCCATGGTCACACTATCCCGGGTTCCGCAAGCAAGGGACTCCGGGCAGAGCATGCCTGGATCCTCGATCTGCGATTTGACCACAGGTGTTGCAGCTTGATGAGGACCGTAGTGACGGTTACAGTTTACAGTATTGCTCTCCGAACTGTCTTGGAATTGGGGTTGCGGCGGGTCGTAGACCATTTGCGGCTTGTCCTGGGAGACCACGCCCATTTCGCAGTCTTCGCGGCCTATTGCTTCCGCTGGAACCAGGCCTTGTAGAAGCCAAGGGCATCTGCAGTGAGCCTTGCATAAACCTTCCCGATTCTCCGCAAGGCACGACTTCTTGAAAGAAGCTCACCTCCCCTCTAGCTGCCTCTCTGGACTTTCGCGGGGAGCTGGAGGTCACCAAGCACACCCAGCCTCTCACCATAAGCAGGCTTGTCACTCGTCACCCTTGCCGCAAGCTAGAAACCCTAGTCCTAAACCGTCTTTGATGGGGCCAGAAGTCAGGTCCGCGCCTTCCAGCACGGCATGGATGCCAGGGCCTGGCGCTCGGACTGGACTATAGTAGCACCTCGCGCCTGCAGAGCGACCTAGGCCGCGCTGAAGGGCAGTCAGCTCCTGCGGTGATTCCTGACGGGTGCGTCTTGAGTTCAGAGACTCTGAGTGCTTCGTAATTAAAGCCGAGAGGCACTGAAGAGCCCTTCGAAGCAGCGGCACTCCATAGCAGAGAGCAGTCAACGCTACATTTTTCCATATGGGAGTCCGCTCAGAACGAAGATTCTATGCCCTGCCCTACCAGTAACGCATGAGCTGGTTCTGTTGCAGGTTATACTTGGCTGCAGGCTCAGCGGATCATGTACCATGGGGCCAACGGTGCCATGGGGTTTGCGGGACAGCGTCTTACAGCTGAACTCCTCGTTGGCATGAAGAGCATGTCTCTGTCCCGCCGACTGTGCTTAAGCCGAATGAGATCGAGCTCACCAGGATAATTCTATTCTCCAGTTGAAAGCCCAATAACAAGCAGCTCGAGAGACACTGCAGGGGGAGCTTATCAGAGTCAGATGAGATAGGATTCAGATCAGAAGGAGGCATTCGGTAAAACATACAGGAGCTCGACAACTCTTGAATAGCCGTCCTTCTCGGATGACGGGTCGAGATATCGGCTGAGCCGACTCTCCTTCAGTATCTTCAGTGCATTCAGATGGGTTTTGCTTCAATAAATATTGAGGCTGCTGTCTCCAGTTTCCAGGGAGGCCTCGTCCTCCAATCGCCGCTGAATCTCGCGCAGGAACTGAGGGCAAGAGTACCTCACAAGCAGCCACCCAGGTCACCCACATCACCCGCCTAATTCCCTATATCGGACTTTCTGAGATCTACCACGAATCTACCTGGGAGCCTCTCTGCTCACTCTACTCTCTGGCCTCTCCTTCCCTTCGCACAACGCAGTCGTCAGCGTCTGCGGCACAGACAAAACTCTCCAGTTCACTGCTCTCTTTTGCCTACACCCTGTCAACAGATTTGTAGGAATACTTTACCAGTGAAGACTTCGATGTGATATGCAACGAGCATCTTCTCCCTACAGTAGAACAACAAGGTCTCCGCACTTTTCGCCGTTCCGAAGGGTTCAAGAGTTTCACGGCGGAAGTGCTGCAAACATCGGCAAGCGTGGCGTAGTGTGTTCGTCGCACGTCGCAGCCAAAGCTTCAAAAAACTGAAAGTGTAAAACCTCGGTGGTAACAGGTCGAACCACTTTCGACATCTTGGCGGTGATCACTGTTTGCCATTTGTTCTGAGAAGATGCAAAGTGCAGAGTCCTTCGGCTTTCGTGGGTCATTCGCCACTCCAGAACGGGATTTTGCATGGTTTGTGTCAAGTCTGGGTGTGCATGTGATGTGAACGAGGCCCAAAGAGAAGTGCGGTCAACTCAACACTTTTCGCCCCGAAGCGCTTTGATGAGCGCAGCCACTTCAGGCAGAGGGTGTTGAACATCAAGGATTACGTAATACATTTCTGCAAGACCAAAGTCTGAAGACTTTACATGTCCCACCGTTGCACAGCTGCTGCCAGCCACATGCCAGCTGCTCGAAATGGCTGTCGATTTGCAGCCCACGTCGGACGGGGCTGCACCCCTTCTCGCCAGGTTTTAGCACTGTATCGCTCAGACTCTCTGGCGGTCATCAGCATCAGCATCGTCATCGTCGAATCGTCATTATCCGCAGGCATCATCTTCATCATCTTCTTCATCATCATCACTATAAAACCTGTACCATGCCCCGTGAGGTAGGGAGTCCGTCAAGCAAGAACTTCGCCCACACCCCCCACGACTGGTCCTGCAACCCGGAAAACTCGCAAACCCCCACCCCGCATCTCCGTCCTCCCTAGCATAGCAAGTATTCCAACATTAATAAATATGATGTTTTTCGCAGCGCAGAAAGAAACAAGGAGCATGAGACAAGAACATGATTGACCTGCCCCAAACAACCCTCAACCGAGCCGAACACACTGAAACTCCTACAAACAACTCGCGACACTGATGTTTTCGGCTTTTGCCAAGCCAAAACTCGAGAAAATGTGTAATGAAGGCGACGTCCGCAATGCAAACGTTGCAAGCAAGATAAAGTGAGTAAGCACCATGCAGTTTGGCTTGCTTCTGTTTGACCGCGAGGTTGCCCCCCTAAACCCTCCTGTCCCAAAGTTGCTGAACCCTCCTTCTTCGGGGCGACGAAACGGAGGCCAACAACAAGAGACAATATTAAGGCTTGCCCCATGCTTTGGGAGAACGCGCACGCTGCTGTCCAGCCGGCCACTTTGGAGCGATAGTACTCTGCGCTGGTCGTCAGAAGCTTGCTCTCGAAGTCGGTCTCCGGGCAAGGGCGGCAAGGGCAGGGCCGCTCTCTCCTCGAGCACCGCTCCGCATCGCTCGGCCTTGTAGACTCCGCGCGCTTGTGACCTCAGCCGATCCGCAGTACCATCGCTCTGCCAACAAGGGCTCTGGGAATCCTGACTGCCAGAGGAGCCGATCCGCAGCGTTCTTGTCTGCGCCCTCTTTCTGTTTCACCACCTTGGGCCCGGCGTCCCCGACCTCGACCACAGGGGTGCTCCGTGCCGCTCGATCGCACTCCGAGGTACTGGCAGTGCAAAGCATCTCGACGAGGCGGCGAAGCACATCCTTCGGAGTGTGTCCCAAGGCTACAAGTATGGTCGCTAGCTGCGCAGCAGGGGGCATGCAGCTGGACAGTTTTGAGCCGGAAAGGCCTTTATTCTCCCTCTCTATTCAAGAGTACATACCGGCGCCTATCGGCTCACTTGGAGAAACGGGCTCGCTTGGCCTCACGGACATACCGCGGAGTCTTCTCGCCATTTTTGATGCCAGGGGCATCCTCAACACCGCTTGCAACGTCCACACCGAAAGGGCCAACGGACGCTACCAACTCCGCCACGTTCGCGTCGGTGAGGCCGCCGGCCACAATCACCGGAATCTGCCACTGCTCCTGCACCACCCGCACCACGGCCCAATCAAAAGCCGCACCGGTGCCACCCGAGTTGCTGCCCTTCACGGCGGTGTCAAGCAAGATGGAGTCGCACACTTCGCAGTACTCCATCAACTTTCGCCTCGGGTAAGCATTGAAGAGAGCTGAATCTCTAATGAAGAATCTCACCTCGGGCTGCCCTGGAATCTAAACCCTTCATATGTTGTGGGCTCATCACGCTGCCTCAACTCCTCAAGCTCTTCCGGGGACGCGCCCCCGCCGCTCGAAGTCGGAGGAAGGTGAGCGACTTTGATGATCCATCGGTCTGGCAGCTGCGCCCGCAGTTCCCGCACGAAATCTGGGCTCTCGCCACCATGCAACTGCACCACGTCTACATCGGTTGCAGCGGTGGTTTTGCACACTTCCTCTAAAGCCTGGTCCATAAAGACGCCCACCACCAAGGGCCGTTGACAGGCGGAGCGCAGCGCGGCCGCTTGCTTCGCCAACGCTGCTGCAGCTGCAGTCGGTGCAGTCGGTGGGCTCCCCGTTTGACGCAGCAGCCGACCGCTGCGCTCCCCGAAACGCCGCACCGCGGCCACCAGGCCTGTCGCCTCGCCAGACAGTTTTGCAAAACCACAAAGTTTGGCTTTGGCAGTTCAGTTCAGTTCAGTGTGCTGGGCCTCCTCTTGGGAGGCCTGGCGCTTGGACTTGGCGAAAATCACGCCGATGAGGTTGGCACCGGCAGAGACGGCACACGACGCGTCCTCCTGCAAAGGCCAGCTACGTTCATTGAGCTTCGTCTGCATGGACTATATACACAGTATCGTATGCCAAAGTATCGTATGCCAACTCAATGTGACAATTCTTGGACACCGGGATCGCACCTCGCGTCGTACGCCACAGACTTTGACCAGTACAGCCCCCGGTGCCACCGGCAGTGCAGCAACGCCTTCGCTGGGTGCCATCATGGCCAGGATGGCGGCACCTATTTCGTAGCAGTTCTGAGGACTTGATGCATTCTGTAGGTTTGCATGCAAAGCCACTTTGCTTCCTGGCGCAGCCTGGATCCGGTGCTCTCATCAGGGCCTCGCCCACCAGGATCCCCGAGCATCGGATCTCCCTGCAGTGTGCCACGTCCTCAGCGCCGGAAAGGCCGCTGAGAGCCAACAACTTCACCTCGGTGCCAACTGCCACGCCCCGACGTGCCAGCTCCTGGCGAGACGCCAGACAGCCAGACACTGCCACGCTGAGTTGGGTGGCTCTTTCTCACGTTTCTCGCGGGTCTCCTGGGAGATGGCCTGTGTGCGATGCTTATCCAGGACCAGGGTGTGCAGGTTCCGGTTGTTCACCCCCAGCACTTTGGCCCCCGCCCGTAGCGCGACCTGAGAACGTAAAGGAGTGAAGGAACCTGAGTTTTAAAGAGGTGAGGAAGAGAGGGAGTCAAGGGACCTGAGTTTTAAGGAGGAGAGGAGGGCCTCCAGCTCCCGATCGGTCACGACTTCCACCAAGGGCTCCAGGCCCTGGCTCCGGCAGCAGCTCAGCAGCGACTGCAGCCTCCAAGAGAGACTCCCCCCCCCCCCACAGTGTGCTTGTGCTTTCCCATTAGAGCAGTCGGTGCAAAGGTCGCGACGGCAGATGTCATAAGGGCCAAGGCCTGGTCTGCGAGAGGATGGAAACCATGAGGAGCACCGTGTCCGCACCGTGAGCGACGGCCTCCATGACCTGATACTCCTCAGTCTGAAGACCCAATCGAACCACCTGCGGTCTGCTCAGACAGCTTTCTGTCGAGGCACATCGATCAAGAAGTCCTTCCGCAGGCAGGCAGGCCGCCGTCTTCCCTCCTTGGCGGCCCAGGCCTGTGTCCTCCGAAAGTGAGCGAACGAGCACGTGCTGTTGTGGAAGCTGCTGCCGTCTCAGGCGCATTCTCCTGACCCGGACATCTCTGAGGTCGTTGAGGGTGCCTTTGAACCACTTGGGCTCGGTCAATACCGAGAGGATGCTCGCACCATGGTGACTGTAGACCAGAGCCTCGTGCAAAGCACAACTTAGGCTTAGGGCAACAACGTTGATACACTCCACGCCAATATTGTGGCATTGTGGTTGTGGGAGAAAATGCTGACATACTGCATGGTGTCACACTTTGAGAGGTCTTGGGAAGCATCCTCTTTCCGTCCTTCCGTGCCTGCTCGGCAGCATCCAGGTCAGGGCTGATGTCGCCCTTTGCGTCAAAAGGCGTACTGCATGTGACCAGGTCCACAAAAATTCACACAGCACCGCACAGGCACGAAAACACTTGAGATACCTGCTTTTGCTGCCTGACCTCCGGACCTCCCTAGGCTGCGGCTGGCCTTCGAAGGGGATGCCCGCTTGAACTCTGCAGCCAGGGCCAGGGACCAAGAGGACTTCTCGGCCTCGCCGATGCAGTCCTCAAGGCAGCGTTAAAGCGACTACAACTCAACCCCTCTACTACCCATCTTCCTCCTATGAAGGTGATGACGTTGGCTATGATCACAATGAAGACCGAAAGTGGGGATCCGTAATTATGCACGCTTTTTCTCCGAGATGTCCACCAGTGATTGCGGCGCGCCGAACTCTTTGACGAAGGCCTGTGCTGCTTCCGCCAGTTGCTCTGGTGGAAGCTTCTCCTTGGAAGTGGCCACATCCTGCGCGGCCAGGTGCGCTCGGAATCCCTAAGTCTAGTCTAGAGCATTTTTGGATGACTGATCTGGTTCCCGTGCCCTTTCACGTGCCTTCTCTCTCTGCTGCACAATCTCTTGGAGCTTGGAACGCTTTGCAGCAGGATCTCCGAAGCCGTAGAGGTGTCCACAATTCTCGGCCTGGGGCCGGGATCGTGCAAACGTCTTCGGAAATCGAAAGGCTTGCGGCTAGCGTTAGGAAGATTTCTGTTAAACTCGTTGAGTAGCCCTGCCCTGCTCTGCCCTTCCCTGCCGCCAAGCATGGAACGCACACATGCGAGCAGGATTTGTCTTGCGTGGTGGCGGTGGTCGTCGTCGCCTGCGTCCTCGCCGTCGTACTTGTCGTGGTCCTAACAGTTGTAGTAGCTAGCTGTACTTGGTTTGAGCAGTAGCTGCCGTCGTCGTCATCGCAGTGGTCGTGGCCGTGGCACTCGTCGACTTCGTAAACTCGAATTTTGGAAGGGTTCGGGGTTGTTGCGGGGCGGGGAGGTTAAGGACGACTCGCTTGCGCGCACGTGCATTTTACTCGGTGTTTACAGTACTTGCGATGTTGCCTCAAATATGCATGTGTCGACTTGGCCAGCTTTAGTGCTTGTGATGATGAAC